TTAATATTTTTATTTTGGAAATGATTCCATATTGATGGACCACGGTTTGTAATTAGAAAACTTGACTGCTGTGATTTAATTTTCCCTAGGTGATAATTGTAGCTGGTATTTGAACGCAGACTATATTTTTTAGAAACTGATATCAAGAAATTATTTAAAAAAACGTTTGTTTTTATACTTATGCATAAAAATTAATATCTGTAATGTGTTAAGTTTCTCAATATCTAGAATCGTCATTCTTTTCATCACTGGGGCCGAGTTTACTAACCTATTTAAATAACTAATTGCTTTGCATGCATGGTTTTGCAGACTTTGCAATTTTAACAATTATTGTTTAACACCTAATGTAATTTAGAAGGTAAAAAAAAAAAAAAGAAAATTATTTCTCATGATTTTCACCTAAGAATATTTTCTTCCAGAATTTGTTTAAAAATTCCTCTATGTTCTTCTGCATTTCAGCACTCTTTTGCATACTTCAAAGTATGTTCAACTTTGAAGGGAATTTCACTTATAGAAAATGCTATTTTTACTTTCTCTTTATTTTGAATTTAATTTTGAAAATTTAACATCTGAAAACGGCATAGGTACTCGATATCGCCAACAAACGAATGCTGAAATAAAGGATGTTTCAGTTGTGAAAAGATAATATCTTCAGGTGTTTTATTAAGAAGTCGAAGAAACAAGTTTAATTTATTTTGATGAATACTTTTTGAAATTTCCTGGATTTTAAATAGAGAATTTGTATAGTTCTTACTGTGTTTTGAAACATTTAAAAGCAATTTTAGCGCACTTCTTCTTGAGTAAAGCAAAAATTTAATGTTTAGTATCCCGTCTGAATCCCAGATGTCTAATTTTATTCCGAAGATTTTTTTTATTGCAAGAAACCGTTATTGTATTGGTTTGTATTTGTGCTTTACCTGAAATCAAGAACTTAGTTTTTTCAGCGTTTAGTTTAATACAATTTAGATTACTGTAAATATTGCATGTTTTTATAAGGTTTTTGAGACCAGAGAGAGTAGAGCTTAAAAGTATGATACCATCCTCATATGCTATCACACCAGTAAAGTTAATGTGCCGACAATCGTTGTCTTACTCCCTGCTTTAGGCGAAAAGAAAGTAAAACATATTTAAAAACTAAACTTAATTTAATATGCATAATATAAGGCGAGAGAAGGAGCTAAGAAAAGAATATTAATAAGAAAAATATGAAATTAGCTGTAAATGATGTTTTATAAAGTAAAACGTGAAAAGCTCGAGGAATTTCAATAATGACTTTTAAAAGGTATGTAAAAAAAAAGAATTTTTCTACTTGTGAAAATGAATAGGTTTCAAATTAAATACAGCGCAATTCTCTTTCTCTACTTTCTAATAAAGTAGAGAAAGAGAAAAAAGAAGAGTTAGTTGACTACTTAAAAAAGCAAACTTTATATTGGATCCTCACAAAATTTATCTTACAAACTGTAAGACAACTTGCATCAATGTGAAAAGAATTTTTCGCCTAAGTGAACTGAATATAAGTCAGCAATGTATCATTGGTTTCATAGACTTATAAAAACTTGTTTATCTAGTGCTACTTTCATTAATAAGTTTTTGAGAATTTAAAAAGTTTAGACCTGTAAAATTTTTGTCAACAAAAATTTAGAATGTAAATAAGACAAGTTTTACTACTGTCCATAAGCCAAAAAAACTAAAGTTAAAAAATAGTATGTTTTCAAAGTGACTTCAGGAGAGCGCAGACTGAAAGTGGAGCCATAAATACTTTGGGAAACCACTTACCATCACTTATGATATTTTCCGGCAAAAGCTGGAAAAAGCTATATATATATTATATATATATATATATATATATATATATATATATATATATATATATATATATATATATATATATATATATATATATATATATATATATATTATATATATATATATATATATATATATATATATATATATATATATATATATATATATATATATATATATATATATATTATATATATATATAAAAAATATATATATATTATTATATATATTATATATATATATATATATATATACATATATATATATATATATATATATATATATATATATATATATATATATATATTATATATATATATATATATATATATATATATATATATATATATATATATAGAAATTACTTTTATTATTGATATTATTGATATATATATATATATATATATATATATATATATATATATATATATATATATATATATATATATATTTATATATATATATATATATATATATATATATATATATATATATATATATAGAAATTACTTTTATTATTGATATTATTGATATATATATATATATATATATATATATATATATATATATATATATATATATATATATATATATATATATATATATATATATATATATATATATATAGCACATCAATAACTTCTATTACCGCGGCACTCAATTAACCAGTCACTGTCTCTTTTTATTAAATTTGCAACCAATGAAACTCGCAACAGTTTTCTAGCAATTTCCAAAAATCTGGATACCAATGAGGCATACAAAAATGTATTCATACTTGTGTTGTCATCTGCACCAAAAAAGTCCCACAGCAGTCCCAAACCAACTAGTTTTCTGAAACAACTATATAATAAATAATGTGACGAATTCATCTCACACGCCTCCTCTAAAGACCATATGCAGATCAGCAAACTTTTCTTGTTAACCAAACTCAAAAAAAATCTCTGGTACCTTAACCACAACAGCAGGTACAATCCACTTAAAGCCTCGTCAAAAAAGCTTCCTGCATTGCAACTAAAGAATTCAAACACAAAGTAGCCTAATCAAGCGAAACCCTAAACGTCTTTACGCGTTAACATTAAACGCGTTAACATCAAACTACGCGATTTGTTTATTGCTATTGTTATTTATTCCAAATAAAAATAAATCATGGGTGTTTAGTTTTAGAGGAAATCAACTAAAGCATGCCTAGATTGACTCTTTCAAAACATAAAAGAAAGTTCTGTGGTAACCAACATACTGCAGACCTTCAAAAAAAAATTTTATACTTAATAATGCTATGAAAATGGACAATTAAAGAATAAAATCAATGAATAAAAAGTGCATTAAAAAAGGGAACGAGAAAAGAAAAAAAATGAGAGCCATTAGTAAGAGATTTGTGGATGAAGAAAAATGAAATGAAACTAAACCAGCCTATGCAGCTGGGGCTTATTAATTATGTTGTTGCACTTTTTTTTTTGTTTTTTAGCTTTAACCTATTTTCTTTTTTCAGTTTTATATTTTGAATATCTTTCGATCTGATAGTCCAAATAATTTGAAATTTTCAGGGTATAATTGTAGTGGTATTGTAAAGGGGTTGAAGCAGAAACAAGGCAAAATTTTCAAAAATGTAGATGTAACAGTTTTTTTGTATACACTCCTATTGAATTTTTCACTTTTTTTTTTACAGTTTTTGTAATAATTTTTGTAAAACAAGTAGGAAACTTCTGAACCTGCTTCAACTCCTGTGTAACTACCTAATGATGATAACCTAAAAATTTTAGGTTAAAAAAGCAAGTCTTTCTTGCTTAATCGCAGATTAAAAATTTTTAAGCATAAAAGTATGAATATATAGACATAAAAGTATGAATATATAGACAAAATATATACATATTTTTATTCTTAATTTTAATGGAAATTGTTCATTGATTTATATAGGTTAACTAAAAAAAGCACTTAAAATAATTAGTTTTCTTTAAAAAAAACTTTAAGAGTATGAACCACCTTGAAAAAGACTGGCTTATTTATTTAGATCCACTAGGAAATTTTTTTATAATATTTGAACAAACCTTAAAATCACCTCCGTTTTCCTATTTTATTAGATAGTTTAGATCAACCAAATCAACCCCTCCCCCTTATTCTTTCTTAAATGGTCTGAATGCACCAAATTGAAAAAATTAAAAAGTTACACCCAACACTTTAATAGGTGGTCTGGATCTGCCTCTGGTGAGAACGGAGACAGGATAAGGTGGCTAATGACAAATTAAGAACTAAACACTTTTTCCCTAACATAAATAGGGTGAAAATGTGCATAAACACAAGAAGTTTCTGCTTATGAGTTTGCAAAGAAAAAGTTTGGATTTCTAAAATCTAAATTTTCTGTAATTGTTGCTGCTGCTTGGTTACTATTTATCCTCCAGACTATTTATTAAATTAATATTAGAAATAGTTATATTAATAATAGTTATTATTAGAAATAGTCTAGTACTTATTATTAGAAATAGTCTAGTAATTGACTTTACCTTGTGAAGGTAAGAAAAATTTCTCCGTGAACAAAAAAGTAGTTTCATGTTATGTTGTTTTTGTTTTTGAATATATTTTTTTAGGAATGTGGCCCCCAAATATTTTTTGCATTCGGTCCCTAAAAACTTTATTTCAGCCTTGGTGATAAGGCGTTGCTAGATTAGTTGCTATGATGCTGTTCATTTGGTTTTTCATTTAACATGTACATGTATAAAAAAACTACTTTAAAAGTAATAACCTTTTTACTTTGGATCTTTATAAGACAAGCAAATCTGGTCAATTTGGCAGTCTGATATATGGTATCTGATTAAAACCGAGTTTAATAACATTAAAATCAAATTAAAAAAAAATCTTGATAATTTTAACAACAACACTATAAGATTTTTAATTCAAAATGTTTATAAACCTATGTTTGATAATAAATTTTTTATGAAACTTTAATTTCATAAGAAGTAAGTAAAGAAGTGAGTAAAGAAAATAAGTAAGAAATGTAAAGCACAAAGTTATTAAAATAACTTTATGCTTTGTAGTTCTTAAAAATAATTTTTTGTTCATCCTGCTTTTATTACCCGCAATTTTTAAACCATCATGAATGTGTTCATAATGTTAATGTTACTCGTTAGCGCTTATAAATGGAGTCGTGATAAAACATGTTATCGTCTTATTATTGTTAAAACTTGTCTATCAATTAAAAAAAGAATTTTTATAACTTGGGTTTGTTAATCTGTTTTTAATAATAGTTCAAATAATAGCTATTTTTTTAATTTCTTTTTTCTTTCTTAAAATTGAGTAAATCTTTCTTACTGGTTTAAAAAAGGATTTACTACATTAGTAATACTACATTATAGTAATCGCTCAGGGTGGTCAGCAACCTGAAAGTTATAGAAAAGTTAGGGAAATTCTAAACTATGTTAAAAATTCAATGGAAATTTCGATAATAAATATAATTTTGCAATATATATATATATATATATATATATATATATATATATATATATATATATATATATATATATATATATATATATATATATATATATATATATATATATATCGAAGAATAAAAATCAATTTATTTTTTTGCTTCATATTTTATTTTTTTGTTTAAAAATGTTTATTAATTAAAACAGTTTTTATTAAAACTTCTTTATTTGGGTAAAGTTGTGTAAATTTTATTTGTTGCCTTTTTTTTGCTACATTTGTTAAACTTACATCAGATAAATCAGTGAACTTTCAATTTAGTCAGGGAAATGAAAATCTAATATATTTTAATCTTTAATAAAGTTATCAGATTGTATATAAGTTAAAGTAAATTTCAGTTTGTGATTTTATATTCTTTATAAGCCTTTGTAACATAAAACTGTTGAACAAAAATTTGCATTTACAACTTATTTAGAATACAAAATTTTGCATTTGCAACTTCTATTAATATTTATAATAAATGTTAAAAATCTGTTAATAGAAGTTGCAAATGCAAAATTTTGTATTCTAAATAAGTAAATAAGCTGTAAATGCAAATTTTTATTCAACAGTTTTATGCTATATATATATATATATATATATATATATATATATATATATATATATATATATATATATATATATATATATATATATATATATATATATATATATATATATATATATATATATATATATATATATGTGCTGCTGCAATTGCCAATCGAAACCATTACTTCCATATCTATCAGCAAAACAATTCTCCAGAAAACAGACGTCTCTTTATTACTGCTAGGAACCATTGTAAAAAGGTTTTGTCTAACGCCAAAACCCGCTATTCTCAGATCATGAAATCTCGTATTTCATCACAAAAATTAGGCTCTCGTGACTTCTGGAGAATCTTTAATAGTATCAATAATAAGGGCAAGTCTGTAATTCCACCTCTTTTGTACGGTTCAGACTTTGTCACCTCACCTAAAGACAAAGCTGAATTGTTTGCCAAGAACTTTTCATCACTTTGGAACACTTCTGCAAGACTATAACTTTTCCTGTTATAGTCTTGCAGAAGTGTTCTCCTGAGCTGTCGTCTATCTTTTCAAAACTATTCAAGAAGTGCTTATCAGAGTCTTGTTTTCCAGCCTGTTGGAAAGCAGCATCTGTTATCCCTATTTTTAAAAATTCTGGAGAGCGATCTGACTCATCTAACTACCGTCCCATTAGTCTTCTTCCTACCATAAGCAAGGTTTTTGAATCTTTAATTAACAAACACTTAATCTCTCATCTCGAATCTCATAACCTACTTTCTGATCATCAGTATGGATTTCGATCTTCTCGTTCTACGGCTAATTTAATATCAATAATAACCGATAGGTTTTATCGCGCATTAGATAAAGGTGGAGAGGTTAAGGCCATTGCTCTTGACATTTCTAAAGCGTTTGATAAAGTTTGGCATGCTGGTCTCCTCCATAAGCTTTCTTCTTATGGTGTATCTGGAAACATCTTTAAGATTATTGAATCTTTCCTTTCCAATCGTAGTATAAAAGTTGTCCTTGATGGACAGCACTCTTCTTCTTATTCTGTAACCTCAGGGGTTCCCCAAGGTTCAATCCTTGGCCCTATACTCTTTTTAATTTACATTAACGATCTTCCAGATATTCTCACATCTAAGGTGGCATTGTTCGCTGATGATACTACCATTTATTCTTGTCACGATAAGGAGCCAACTCCCTCTGATTGCTTGCAGGGGGCATCTGAGCTCGAAAAGGATCTCACTTCTGCTACAGCATGGGGCTCGCAGTGGCTGATGAACTTTAATTCAGATAAAACTCAATTTTTTTCGGCCAATCGTTATCGCAATAATTTAGACCTTCCTATATTTATGAACGGTAATGTACTCGATGAGTCTCCTACCCTTCATCTTCTAGGATTAACTCTTACTTCTGATCTTTCTTGGAAACCTTATATCAAATCCGTTGCAAAATTAGCATCTGCTAAAGTTGCTTCTCTTTATCGAGCTCGTCACTTTCTTACTCTGGATTCTATTCTCTATCTCTATAAATCTCAAATCCGGCCTTGTATGGAATACTGTTGCCATATCTGGGGCGGATCTTCTAATGATGCCCTTTCTCTTTTAGACAAGGTGCAAAAGCGCATTGTGAACATAGTTGGACCTGCTCCTCTGTCACATCTTCGTAATGTTGCTTCTCTTTCTCTTTTCTACAAATACTATAATGGACACTGCTCTAAAGAGCTAGGGTCTCTTGTGCCATCTACTAAAATTCATTCTCATGTTACTCGTCATTCAATTAAGTCTCATCCTTTTTCTGTTATTGTTCCTAAGTGCTCCAAAAACTCTTATTCGTCTAGTTTTTTCCCTCGAACATCAGTTCTTTGGAATTCGCTTCCTTCATCTTGCTTTCCTGATTCATATAATTTGCAATCTTTTAAGTCGTCTGTCAATCATTATATTGCTCTACAATCTTCATCTTTTCTCTTCTAGTAACTTTCAACACTAATTAGTGGTTGCTTGCAACCTTGTTGGAAGCAAAGATAATTAAAATATATATATATATATATATATATATATATATATATATATATATATATATATATATATATATATATATATAATATATATATATATATATATATATATATGTATATATGTAAAGAGGGTTGCATGGTTTAAACCAATTAAAATAATGTTGGTTTAAACCAAACTAATGTTTTTTTAAAAAGATTTGAAGAGCTAAGAAAGGGTTATGCTCACAAATATAACTTATCTTCAATATAGATATATTTTTTTAAATCCATGGTTTTTTTTTTTTTTTTTTTTTTAAATTTATCAATATGCTTCATCCAGGATACACTCTACCTAATAGAACTGAAATTGGAGGAGAATTATTAGATAGAGTTTACACAGAAGAAATTGAAAAATGTAATGTATTAAATGGGAAAATTGTAGTCATGTCTTTAGATGGTTGGTTACAGATAAAATTAACATTTTAGTAGAAACAATCAACACTTCTGGTCATTCACATACTGGTGAATATCTTACACAATTAGCAAGAGAAGCAATAGATTTTGTAAGACGTAAATTTGGATGCACAGTAAAAAGCTTTGTGACTGACAATGCAGCTAATGTGAAATCAATGAGACAAGTATTGTCATCTGAAAGAGATATTATCATAACTTATGGGTGTGCTGCTCATAGGCTGAATTTTTTAGCAAATGATCTTAACATTGAAAATGTGAGCAAGCATGTTACACAAACAATAAAATATATAAGAAATAATCATCAAGCTGTAGCAATTTATAAATTAGGTGGAGGAACAAAATTGCCACTTCCTACTGAAACTCGCTGGAATTCTGTATGTGATTCACTTGAAAAATATGTCAACAACTGGATCATTATTTTTACAATGTTTGAAAAAAATAAAGACTTGGATCCCGTGATTGGTATAAAAGTAAGTGATATACAAATAAAGTGAAAAACAGAAGATTTGTTAAAAATATTGAAACCAATTGCAGTAGCTCTAGATAAGTTGCAAAGAGATCAAACAAAAATAAGTGACTCTTGAAATTTTTAAAGATTTGATGAACAGTTTATCATTTTTATCAAAAAAAAAATTGAACCTAGATACCTTCAGACTGTTAGTGATGCTCATTTTCTGGCAAACACACTAGATCCTAGATATTTTGAATCTAATTTTTTTGAAAATGAAAATGAAGCTGCCATGAAATTCGCAGATAAAGAGTTCAAGAATTTGTTACCAATATTACTTAAATTAAAAGCCAAATCTACTATAACATAATGGAAATTGAAAGTTTATTAAATGCACCAGCTTCTAGTGCTGGAATCAAAAGAATTTGTTAAACTTTTTTTCTTGTTCATTCTAAGTTAAGAAACCAATTGGGGGTAGAAAAAGTAGCAAAGCTTGTATTTATATATACAACATTAAACAATGATATATTAAATAATTTTGATGAAATATAACAATAATATTGATAAAGAATATAGTTAACTCAAATAAAATAGGTTATGCTTTTTTTAATTTAAAAGGATAACTAAATACTTCATTTTTTAGTAAAAACCTAATTTAAACCAAAAAAACCATGGTTTTTTTGTTGTTTTTTTAAAAAACCTATGGTTTTTGGTTTTTTTCAAAAAAAACCTTTTTTTTTTTTTTTTTTTTTTTGCAACCCTTTATGTATATATATATATATATATATATATATATATATATATATATATATATATATATATATATATATATATATATATATATATATATATATACATATATATATATACATATATATATATATATATATATATATATATATATATATATATATATATATATATATATATATATATATATATATATATATATATATATATATATATATATATATATATATATATATACAGACCTTGCGATGAATAAGAACTGCGCGACGCATAAGCACGACGTGATTTTTGACGTCATTAAATTCTTTTTATTTGCTTTTCATATTTATCGACATTAACTGCACCAATTTACTTAATTACCGCAAAACTACTTTAAATCGTTTATGTAGAAATGTTATTATTCAAAAAATTTTTGGAATGTTTCGTTTTTTAAAATGTAAAAACATTTGTTTATTTTCTCGACGTTTGTCACGTTTTGTCTATACTAAACGAATAAAAAACATTATAACTTAAATTTAAAAAAGATTATAAAATATGCTAATATTTGATTTTTTTTTTCTTAAATATGTAATTTAAAGTTTTTCAAATAATTATTTTTTCTTTTTAAAAAGTCAGCGAGTAATAAACTGGAAATTTTAATATTGTACGATTAAAAACTGTGCAATAGCTAATATTTTTACAAGCGATTTTGTATAATATTTATTTATTTATTTTTATTTATTTTCAAAAAGCGGTTGATAAGCACAATCACTCGTATTAATAAAAAACTCAAACGAACGTTTTGAATAATTTTTAATGTTAACAAGGAATTTTATTTCTAGTAAAATAAAATAAAATGTTAGAATAAAAATCTTATAGGTATAAAAGAAATATTTCAGCGAAAAAATTATTCTTAAAAATTATTCGAAAAACTATTGACGTTCTATTTTTCAGCAGCTGTTCTTGAGCACGCTTCGTTGAGTTTCGGTCACTTTTAACAAAAAAGCGATCGTTATTATTTAAGTAATTTTTATCGAGTTTTTATCGATTTATCGATATCGATAGTATCGATTTTTACAAAACTTTTAATAGCTGTACTTTCTTATTGAATCAAGTAGAATACGTTTTAATATTAATCCTTTAATTTTTTTTATTGGCGCTTACCAATTTTTAAAATATTTCCTCGAAATTACTCTTAAATACTTTAAATACGTCTAACAGTTAATAAATATTTTTAAATCTATGGAATAATTTTAAAACCTAACAAACCCCTGTAAAATAATTATTTAAGTTAAAAATCTAAAACTAAAAGAAAGTATTTTTGTTCATTTTTATCGACAACTTTGCTATTGCTGAATAATTTTATTAAAATGTTAGCTTAAAAAGATTTAAACTTTTTTTTCAATCTGAATTTTTTCTACTTGTAAATAATAAGCATATTTAATTTTTCTGTAATTCAAACTTTTATATCAACAGCGTGCGGTTTTTAAAATACTTTATTAAATGTTAAAATAATCGTAAATTACTTCATTAAAATTCCGCTCAAAAATATCTTTAAATATACTCAAACAAAAAATTTTTTGCTCGATGCAAATAGCCCTAGCTACACGCAAAATCGCTCTTGGACGACGTAAAATTCACATCGCCCGACGCTTTATCGCAAGGCCTGTATATATATATATATATATATATATATATATATATATATATATATATATATATATATATATATATATATATTCTAAATGAATTTTAGAAATAAAAGCATAGAGAGAAATAATCATGTTTACAAAGCGACAGCACAGTGAGAATGATAGTTATGAGTTTCAACCTTCAAATTCTAAAAAAAGTAAAATAGAAACTCAAAAAAATCCTGTATCTCAAATGCATGAAATGTATCCTGGAATTACTATCGATTATAAAAATGAAGGTAATTTTTTTATAAATGTTTATTAAATTTTTCATGATATTTTCTTTTTAGGAAAATTTAGAAAATTTATTTTTAGGCTCTTTTCACCCTAGCATACAAAGTTTGAAAATAAATAAATATAAGTTGAATAATGATTTTTAACTTTTAAATCAAGTTATATAATTATATTATTTTTTAAATTGCATTTTTTTCATGATTTTTTTTTGCTTTTGAACTGTAAGTAGATAAATTCTCTCTCTCTTGCCTGCCGCTTTGAGTTAAGGGGGTTGGTTAGTTCAAAGTTGTACATAAGTTTGTTACTTTTTTTTAACATAATATTTATTATATTTAAATTTTGAACTGTAAGTAGATAAATTCTCTCTCTCTTGCCTGCCGCTTTGAGTTAAGGGGGTTGGTTAGTTCAAATTTGTACATAAGTTTGTTACTTTTTTTTAACATAATATTTATTATATTTAAATATTATCTCATAATATTCTCTGTTTGGTGGGGTTTAAAATGCTTAAATTAGAATTTAAAGGGACTACCAAGTCCCGAGACATGTTGTGTTCATATTAAAGAAAATGTTAAAAAAAATGTCTGAGCAATTTTTTTTTTATTAAAACTAATTAATAAATGTATACCAAGAAAAACAAATCTTGTTGTTTTAGTCGAAGCTCGTCTGCTCCATTTTCTGCGGTATTTTGAGTATGTAAAATAAACGCGATTTTCCAGGTGCATTATACAGACTTGATAATTTATTCAAGCGTTTAATTCATAGAAGTTTTAGTGCATGACATCATTGGAAACATTCTAGAAATTCTTTAAAAATTTTACTATTAAATTTTACTAAAATAGCTAACTATAGTTACTTATTAAAAGTTTATTTAATTAATTGTTCGTTAGTTTCTTACAAATCTAACGAGCAATTAATTAAACCAAGCATTAAGAAAAGATATAAAAATTAAGAATATACTAATAAAATATATAATTTGTAATTAACTTTCAAAATTTTGATAATTTAAAAAATGTATATTATAAAACATTTATTTTTGTAAACAAATGGTAATAGTTTAAAAGATTTATGGCTTTACAGTGTGGCTCCAAAAATGAGCCATAATATTGAAGTAATAGTTCATTTGATAATATATTCTTGAAAAAATTTATGCTAGATATCTCATAATGCAACAAATCATAAATAATACAATTCCTAAAACATTTTAACTAAATACTCTAGAACTTTATTTCGCTTAGTCAGCGTATTTTTTGAACCAATAGAATTAGTTTGTTCGCAAATTAGGCGGGTTTTTAGTGTTCACGAATATTCTTTTTATTCTTCCGCAAGATGTTTTAAGTACATTCAAGTTAATTATGTTTCCACATATGTCTGTAGAATAAAAATTAATATATATTAATTTTTTTATTTTTAAGCCCCCGCCATAATATATATTGGATTTTATAATAATGGAAATATAAATGATGAAATAAGATCACTTCAATACCAAAAAATACATTTTTGAAAATCAGAGAAACAATGCGTTAATAATATATTTTTTTAATATTTACAATGTAAATTAATAAAAGTGCATTATTATTTAGGTTAAAAATTATTTTATCTAATATTTTGAAAGATAAACTTATAACAAAAGAATTCAAAATACACGTGGTCTAGATAATTATTTAAAAAAAGTTGCGCAAATAAAATACTATTTTGTTTTTAATTTTTTTACAAAATTTTAGAACTTTAAAATATAATAAAATTTTATTATATTTTAAAGTTTTATTATATTTAAATATTTTTTAAAATAAATATGATTTGGAAATTGTATGTAAAAAATAACAATCGGTGTTTTAAACAAACAAAACAAAAAAATCTATGACGTCATGCACTAAAACTCCTATGAATTAAATGCGCTTAAATAAATTATCAACTTTGTATAATGCGCCTGGAAAATCGCGTTACTCTTTACTGGAAAATCGCGTTACATACACAAAATACCGCAGGAAATGGAGAAGACAAGCTTTGACTAAAATAAAAAGATTTCTTTTCCTTGGTATACATTTATTAATTAGTTTTGATCAAAAAAAAATTTTTTTTAACATCCTCTTTAATATGAACACAACATGTCTCAGGACTTGGTAGTCCCTTTAAAGGCCAAAAATTTAAAAAAAAATTTTTTCTTTCAATAATTGGCATTTAGTTTTCTCACTTTCCTGTGCATTAATAAAAACAGTAGTATAGCGAAAACAATTAAAAGACAAATTTAAAAATTGTCTGTGTTTCTAGCGTAAATAAAAAAGTATTTCCTAAGTATACTTAATGAAAAAAGTCGCGAAAAAGTTGTATATCAAAAAAGTTTTTATTTTCGTTATATTCTTATATTCTTTTTTCCTCAACTTTATTAATTTTGGTAGTGAAAAATAAGAAACGCCCTAAAAAAAGAAAAAACAATAAAATATTTAGCAGGGGTAATTCTAGACCATTTTCGACAGTGTCGATCGTATTTGGGTGCCGCCCAAATTAAAATTTGAGAACCTTTTTTTTTTTTTTTTTTAAACATTTTAGTGCGAACATTGTTTTGTTTTCTTTTTGCCAAAAATGCAGATTTTTTGTTAAGTTTTGCCTAGAAAAGGGGGGTACTGCCACCCAAATTTTTTTCTAGAATAGGCCCTCTCTGTTTGGTGGGGTTTTGTTTAGATTGCTTTAGGTATTAGTTTAGGTATATTATTTATTTTTTTTTATATTCAATTTTTTTAGTGTATTATATTTAGATTTTCTATTTCAAATAATCTTCCTTTTCTTTCTTCGAGTATTACTGTTTTATTCCTCTAGTTTCTTATAGCTTTATTTTGCCGCAATTTAAGACCTATCCCCCCTCCCTCCACCTAATTTTTTTTAAACATTTAAATCAAAGTCTTTACTGCGATGACAAATATTGATAAAGTTTTCAAATTTTTTAAATTGTACTGCATAACCATCGGAAAAGTATTTCACACTTGATACATCAGGTAGATTTTCTTTTATATATCTAGTTATATCTTCCCGAGTCTTGTAAATAAATCCTGTGTCATGATCAACATCTTCTGAAAGATAACCAAACCATTTATGTTTGAGAACTTTTTTCTCTCTAAAATAAAGTGCAATTGTAAAAAAATAAACATTGATTTTTGCCTCTCATCCTGAACAACATATTGATAATTTTTAGCAAAATCTCTTAAAATTAAGCATTCGTTTTGGTTAAGATTTCTCTCACTATTTGGTTCCCATTCCTCCTGTGAATTTAAATCTTCATCAGTTTCTACTGCTTTTTTGTAACATTTACAGCAGAATTTCCAACCTGGGGTTACATAACATTTTCTTGCAAAAATTTTGCTAAGTCTAGGAAAATCTTTATATTACCTAAGAAACAAATTTAGTTTGAAGTTTTTTAAATAACTGAAAATATAAAAATTTTTATAAATAATAAATTGTTTTTCTTTTAATTTCCATATCAATTCTGTTGTAATTAATGTTAAATTACCTTTTATAGCAATTTTTTTTACTTTCCTTGTGTGTTCCAAAAGGATTGAAACATTTAGTCATTTTTTTCACTTATTCATTTTTCACTCAGTAATTTTTCTCTCAAAATATTTTAAATAGAATTGCTCATAAGAACATATAATTCTTTTTGAACAATATTTTTTTCCTTTAAATTTGCTTTCCATATTATTTCTTCTTGTTTTTTCACAAGGAAGATATTTGAAGTTATTCAAGTTTCTGAAAGATACTAACTCAAATTTAAAAAAAAGAAAAAGGTTTACATTAATTTATTAGTTTAATACATAAAAAAAACTTATTAAAAAAAGCACCTGTAAAACATATTAAAAATATATTTATAAAAGTTTAGAATGACACAAAGTATTTTTTTATAATTAAGAAAAATCCAACAAGATAGGTGTGGCTTTACATTGATAAATAGCATTTAAAATGTTTATTTTTTATTATTCATTTAATTTTTAAAAGAAAATGCATAACATCAAACCATTTTTCAGTTGTTTAAAATTTTCATTTCATACATATATTTTAGAATTAAGTAAAAAATGTATTTTGTGTAATATATTACTTTATTTGTTATTAAGTTTAGTGTGCAATATAGTATAATAATGTATGCAGGGCTCGAATTAACGCAAAAAAGATCTAATTTCGAATTTTTATTTTTTATTTTTTGCCTGTCAGTTTACTATACAGTTTATAACCTTAATATTATAAAACGCGTTCAAAATAAAACTAAGTAAATAAATAGAATTGTTCTAATTAATAAATTAAAACATCATCATAAAACTTTAAACTTTAAATTTGTACAAAAACATGCGTATATATAGACCATATGAGTCTATAATCTATAGACCAAATGAGTAAAATTAAAGCAAAAAAAAAAAAATTAAATACCATTAATTTTTACATTATTTTTTATAATTTATTGTTTCTTGATTTAGCATACAATAAAAAATTTAATTAAAATTGGGTTTTTCATTCAAATGGTTGATATTTTCATTCAATTTCATTCAAATGGTTTTGCAATAAAAAATGAAACAAAAAAATTTGGTTTAATAAATCGAATTATATTTCCTTAAGTTTAAGGATATGCTTGAATTATTTTTTTAGAAAAAAATTTCATTGAACAGAAGTAAAATAATTTATAGATTTTAATTTAAATTTTTTATAATTTAATTTTTATTTTAACTTAAGCAATCAGTGGTTTAATGTTTGCAATAGAATGTTTCTATTTTTAAAATATTTTAAGAAACAAAATATGATTTTCTGTTCAAAATGATTATGATTTAAATAAAACGTTCCTTTTTACTTACACTATGTTCTAAATCTGATATTGTTATTGTTGCTAGATATATGTTTAACTTTCAGTAACGATTCTGGCTATACTGGATATTATGGATGCAGCTGAATTAAATTTATAATTATTGAACATTAAATTTTTTTTGAAATTTCAAATTTCAATCGTTAAATTACTAAAATTATTTTGTTTAAATAAATTTCTTTTGAAATAAAATTCCTAAAATAATTTAAATTCAAAAGCGCTTTATGTTAAATAAAATCTGTGCAAGAGAGTAAAGATCTATTCAAAAAATAAATTTAGCTTTATGTACTTTATGACCCCTAATAAAATACTTAGACAAACATTACTTTTAAGAATGGCCTAAAAAAAAATGCCTAATTAAAAAGAAAAAAAAAAATTAAAAAAAAAAAGCCTCGTTTTTTTAAGAAAAAACCAATTGCTAAAGTGTGAAAAGCAATTGTGATCTCAATACGCTTAATTCGAGCCCTGCTATGTTAATGTAGTACTGTAGTTTTTTTTTAATGTTTGTTCAATTGTTTACATTCAAAAGCACTTAATTTTAGGAACACCACAACAGCCTAAGTTTCTAGCTTTCACTACTGTTAAAGGCAAGCATTTTGATTGTTATGGAGCTTCAAAACAAAAAGCCAAGCAAAATCTTGCTATCAAAATACTTTATACAAATAATTCAATGAATAACTCTCCTGCAAATATAGGTTAGTAACAATCAAAAAGTTTATATTTAAATAGATGATTTTATTACTGTATTCCTAGAATTCAGGGAATTCACTTATAATGCCTTTTAGTTTCCAAAAATTTTTGGAAGACTTTTGCAAATGATTTGTGATTAAAGTTTATAGAGAATTCATGTTTAGATGGATACTACATTTTTTACCTTCTTTTTTTTAACAGTCCTAAATATAAATTCGAATTTTCAGTATTTAAGTTTTATTCACTTATAACGCCTTATAGTTTCCAAAAATTTTTGGAAGATTTTTGCAAATGATTTGTGATAAAGATTTTTAGAGAATACATGTTTAGATGGATACTACATTTTTTACCTTCTTTTTTTTTTAAATTCTAAAGATAAATTGGTATTTTCAGTATTTAAGTTTTATTAGTCTATTTCAGAACCAATGTCAGAATAATTTTTAAATTTATAAAAACAATTTTATAGGATAGTATCTTACTTTTATTAGGTTTGAATTATACTTGAGCAAGGATCACAGCTACAATTTTATTTTGGAGGAGGGGGGTAGGGTAAAATTTGTTGATTATTGTTTACTGTTATATTAAACATTAACCCAAAAAAAACATAACGTTTTTTATTTTTTATTTATTTAAGTCATTTAAAAGAACTTTTCGTGTACTGACATACGTAATTTTTTTTTTGCAAGAAATTAAATAGGGTTAAAATATAAGGAGTATTTTGTTAATATCTCAATAAATAGTTTGCTTTAAAAAGATTAACTCCAAACTTTATTTTTAAGGTTTAATTAAAATAAATATTAAATTAAAATTAAATTAAACATAAATTTTTTTGGCTCTTGGTGATCCCTTAAAGCAAAAAAAAAATAACTTGCAGTTAAGAAATTATATAAAATTATTATCATACTTAGAACAAAAATAAACTTGGTAAAGATATTGTTAACCAAAAAAGAAACTTTAAATTTTTTCCCTTTAATCAATAAATAAAGATACGATCGTTAGCGTTTATTTAAAAAAAAAAAGATTTGTTGCGCCCTGCCCTTCGTCATGCCCAACTCTATGTAGCATTCTCAAGACCAACTTTAAGAGCAGTCAAAATACTTATTAAATCCTGTGTAAATCAAGGAAAATTAATCAAAGACCCCGACATGTATTTTACTCGCAATTTTGTCTACCGCGAGCCATTGATATAATTTACGTTAATATTTATTTTAACAAAATTATTGTATTTTAAATGTAACTATGTAATATGAAATGCAAAATTACATATCCTTAAAAGAATAAAAAATAATTAAAGGGATCCCAAACTCCCAACACATGTTGTGTTCATATTAAAGATAATGTTAAAAAAAAAGGTTTGAACCAAATTTTTTTGATTAAAAATAAATAATGAATGCATACCGAGAAAAACAAATGTTGTTGTTTTTGCCGAAGCTCGTCTTCTCCATTTTTTTCAACTAATCGGAGTCTTCAAATTATGCGTCGCAATCTACAGACTTTGGCAATTCCTTTGAAGCGCGTTTAATTCATAAAAGTTTTAGTATTTGACGTCACGGTAGACTTTTAACAAAAGAAACTCTGGAAATATTTTTATTTATTTTTAGTCGAAGTTTTTTTGGTTATTTGTTTAGTTTTTTTTTTTTTCTACTTTTAATATTTAAAAAGATATTAAAAACCTTAAATCTTTTATGCTGGTTCGTTGCTATAAATTGGTATTGCGCCATATATTTAATGTTTATAAATTATGAATATTTATTATCTCAAAAATTGTTTTACATTAATTACCCGTATAAAATTAGTAACAGCTTTTTTATTTGGTTAGACGATATTTCGTTTCAATTTGCTTTGCATGAAGTTCGGAAAGTCAAACGAAAAAAATTAGTTTGAATAATCACGTCGAAATATATTTAAAACAAATTATTTTAATGACGGGGGTTCTAAAGTTTTTTATAACAAATGTAGGTAAAAAAATAAATAACTAAAAAAAAAGTTCAGTATTAAACACCATTTCTTTATTATATTGCAACTGTAAATATTGAATTATTAACTTGAACTAAATTTACTTATTATTTAGAACGACTAAGCAATAAAATTAAAATGCCTCTAAAATTATGCGACATTGTGTTGTTTATTTGATAACTGTTGTTGGTAATGTTGTTTATGTTGATTATTTTCATAAGTATCAAAATAGTTCCAGATTAATCTGTTCGTTGCTTTGCTCATTGTTGATTTATTTCTAATTTAATTTTATCTTAAACTATAATTATATATTAAAAAATAAAAGTTTTTATTTCATCGGGCGCTTTTTTTATAAAAGAGAAAGAAAAGTTTCGCGCAATTAAACTTTGAATGAATAAGAGTTGTAAAGAATATATATTTTTTTTGCGTCACTCGTTCTTTTTTTAGATGAGAGAAATAAAAGTTTAATAGTTTAATTTTTTTTGAATAAATGAGAATTGGAAGAGAAAATTGCTTGAAAATTTGTATTTGTTAATTGTGTTTTTAAAAATTTTTAATTTTTCATGTTAAGAGACAAATGCCAATTACGACACAAATTTGGAAATACCAAATATAATTCTATATATGTCAAATATAATTCTATATATATTCTAAATATGTTTTTTAATGCGCGTTATGACATTTTAACAATTTAAATTACCATCTATCTTGAATTATTGCCTTTAATTAATGTGTTAATTATTGCATTATTTAATAATAATTTGTCCGTATTTTGGTTAAATATTAGTTGTATAAAACGGGCAAAAATATGCAAACTTCATGTTTTTTATTTGATGGTTATAAAATATTGAACAGTAAACTTATAATCAAGATTTATAATGCCGACTTGTGTTGCAATTAATTGCACTTTTAATACAAAATCAGGATCTCACATATCCTTTCACAAATTTTTATATCTGATACTACTGTCAAGTGTTAAAAAAAAAGTACAAAAATACACTAAACTATTGTTTAGTGTATTCTTGTATTTTTTTTCATAATCTTAACAGGTTCTAATTGGTATGGAGTTGCTGACATTTTAAAAATTTCATTATCAAAAATCAAATGTAAAATAAAATGGTATTTCCTTTTTATCCGTATTCAATTCAGCAAATTTAGCAATTTAAATTAAATCAGCGTGATCAAAAAAATTTTATAATAAAAAAAGTTAACAATTCATTAAATATCTCTAATTAATACTGTTAGTTTATGAAAGTAATTGTTAATAAAAACTTTTTTTCAACAAGAAAACAAAAAATTATCATAGCGTAAAAATAACCAGAGAAGTTAGAAAATAGTTCCCATTGTTTAAATAAAAATAATTAAGAATCAGAATATATAATACTGCGCTCTCTTGCGCTAAAACAAGAAACCGTATATAAAACGTTCTATACAATGTAAAATACTCGTATGAAAATCATGAGATTGGTAAGTAAAGCTTTAATATTTGTTTTAATTTAAATAAATAAAGAAATATAAGTAAGATATATAAATCTAAAAATTATTAAGATATCTGTAAAAAATAAGTTGCTCCTATAAAATAAAAATAATTTATCATTTTTTCTTTTTACAAATTTTTTTTTGCGATGTTTAGAAAAATAATACAAATAAATTTGTTTTGCTGTATGTTAAAAAATACTACAGTAGAAAAACGCAGCTTAGTTTAATTACACTTTTCTTTTGTTAAAAGTCTACCTTGACGTCAAATACTAAAACTTTTATGAATTAAACGCGCTTCAAAGGAATTGCCAAAGTCTGTAGATTGCGACGCATAATTTAAAGACTCCAATTAGTTGAAAAAAATGGAGAAGACGAGCTTCGGCAAAAACAACAACATTTGTTTTTCTCGGTATGCATTCATTATTTATTTTTAATCAAAAAAGTTTGGTTCAAACCTTTTTTTTTAACATTATCTTTAATATGAACACAACATGTGTTGGGAGTTTGGGATCCCTTTAAAGCTAATTTAAAGCTCCGACTAATTCTTCCGTGATTGAGCTGGCTATTCTACTAGTAAATATTTATACTTAACAAATATTATATGGCCAATTCCATTTTTAACTTATGTTACACGCGCAACAATTTTATCAAATATTTTCCTATTTAAACTGTAAATAAAGCCATTTTGTATAAAAGCTGTTAGTCTAAAGAATAAAATAAGCTTAAAAGTTTTAAGTCTGGCCAAAAGAGAGCGAACTTTTTACTGAAAATGTCACTTAACTTACGTTACACAGAAAAGGTAAAAAAATTGCTTCAACTTTTAGATAGTGGTTTGTATTAGAAACTTTCACAAAATGTTGAGAATTCTATACCAATTTATAAAATAAATAAAAAATTTATCAGAGGTGACCAGCTAAGGAAAATAAACTTGTTTTTTTGATCTATATATTTAACTTACATTACATCACTTACCTTACTGAGCAATTATTATTGTGAATTTTTTATACCTATTATTTAGAGTTTGATTTTTTAGAGTAACAAAAGAATAGCAAAAGTATTGAACTCATTCATTAAAAATAATTAACAAAAGAAATTTAAAAAAACTGGTGGCACTCTTCCTAAGTGATTTTTCATAATACTTATAAAAGTTATTAAAATCGAAAATAGTTTTTCAAGACAAGAGCAATTTTAGAAAATTTCTTTAGTATGACAGATTTATTAATACTTTTTAAGTCATTTAAAAAAAGAAAATCTTTGGTTTGTTGAAGTTTTTACTTACACTTCTTATGTTTATGCGTATTGCTTTATTTTTGTAAGGTTGAATTTTTAAAATGCTGCAAAGTATTTACATTTAAATATTTTATAATATTTTTGACTTAAAAACCTGCTATTACAGTTTAGGAAAGACCTATCACAAACTGATCACATATCCTTCAGGTATATGTGATCAGTTTGTGATAGGAGAGAAGGAGTTAAGAATTGACAAATATAGGGTGATTTGCTTTATGGATGAGCCCTTAATTGAATTTACAAAGAATTTGTTTTACTAAAACAAAAATTAAAAAAGGTTCTATTTTTAATGTCTAAATAGAATATTAATATATAGTTATTATTTTTATAAACTTGTCAAACCAAAGCAATGAAAAAAGAATTATGTTATGACTTAATTCATTTTGTAAACAAAAACTTGACAAAAAAGCGCCAGAACTTTAGTAAATGCATATAGTTTTAACTTACATTACACAAATTTAAAATAAAAATATGCTTTAACAAGCATTGTTATTCAAAACTATAAATGTAAAAGTGTAACATTTAATATTCTTTTGCATATATTATTAAAAAACATAAGTTTTTTATGTAAATTTTAGAAGAAAAAAAACTTTATCATGTTTTTGTTAATTTATGTTGCATGAAAATTGCAAAAGTTCTTTCATTATTTCTTTGAAATATATATTTTATAAAGTATGTAATCTGACTAACAACAACTTGAAAATGCTCCGTTTTCACGCTATATTAATTCCGATTATACAAATAAATTCTTGGTTAAATTAACATTTTACAATGATACTTTTTTTATCATGCGATATTGAGAAAAACCATAACTTTTGGAAGCATAAAAATGACTTGAATTAATTTTAGTACTAAAGTTATATTTTGAATAAACTTTTATGTGTCTACATCAATATTCACTTGCTAAAAGTTGACCAAAAAGAGAATAAAGTTTGACTTTTTCATTTTCCACAATGGAATTGCCCATATGTATTGTTATCAATGTTTAGTAAACTTATGCTTGTTTTATAAGTTTTTCAATATTACATTGGAATTGGTATGAATATGTTGAATCAATTTTAATAATTTCAGCTCTTCCATAAACAAGTGTTGGTTCATGGAGGAGCTGAAGTAATAGAAAAAAAAATAGAAGCTTGCTGTACAAGTATGATATTAATGGCATTAATTCTATAGGTATTAAAGTTGATTTTAAGCTAAACTTAAATTTAGTTGAGTACTTAATTATGGTTACAACCCTGTCTTAACTCTTTAACTCTGAAACAAGAACCTTGACGAACAAGGCTACTGTGCAGAGAAACAAGTTGTGCTACTTGATAGCTAAGAATTAGTTTTAAAAAATTTTTGTTTGATGATTAGCTTATTCATTTTAGTTGCCTTTTTCTTCCATTCAATATACCAACCAACTTTGTTTGGTTTGGCACATTATAAAAACATTAAATTGATTGCAATACTTAGCAATACAAGAATTATAATTTAATAAATTAAAAAAGTTCTTTGATTAGGTGAATATGTTTTGAATAAAATGTGTCATTGTCATTTTCATGTTTTCATTAATATTGTTTTAAAAACCATAATATTTTGAATTTTACTCAAGAATTTTTATATCAATTTATAAAATAAATAAAAAATTTATCAGAGGTGACCAGCTAAGGAAAATAAACTTGTTTTTTTGATCTATATATTTAACTTACATTACATCACTTACCTTACTGAGCAATTATTATTGTGAATTTTTTATACCTATTATTTAGAGTTTGATTTTTTAGAGTAACAAAAGAATAGCAAAAGTATTGAACTCATTCATTAAAAATAATTAACAAAAGAAATTTAAAAAAACTGGTGGCACTCTTCCTAAGTGATTTTTCATAATACTTATAAAAGTTATTAAAATCGAAAATAGTTTTTCAAGACAAGAGCAATTTTAGAAAATTTCTTTAGTATGACAGATTTATTAATACTTTTTAAGTCATTTAAAAAAAGAAAATCTTTGGTTTGTTGAAGTTTTTACTTACACTTCTTATGTTTATGCGTATTGCTTTATTTTTGTAAGGTTGAATTTTTAAAATGCTGCAAAGTATTTACATTTAAATATTTTATAATATTTTTGACTTAAAAACCTGCTATTACAGTTTAGGAAAGACCTATCACAAACTGATCACATATCCTTCAGGTATATGTGATCAGTTTGTGATAGGAGAGAAGGAGTTAAGAATTGACAAATATAGGGTGATTTGCTTTATGGATGAGCCCTTAATTGAATTTACAAAGAATTTGTTTTACTAAAACAAAAATTAAAAAAGGTTCTATTTTTAATGTCTAAATAGAATATTAATATATAGTTATTATTTTTATAAACTTGTCAAACCAAAGCAATGAAAAAAGAATTATGTTATGACTTAATTCATTTTGTAAACAAAAACTTGACAAAAAAGCGCCAGAACTTTAGTAAATGCATATAGTTTTAACTTACATTACACAAATTTAAAATAAAAATATGCTTTAACAAGCATTGTTATTCAAAACTATAAATGTAAAAGTGTAACATTTAATATTCTTTTGCATATATTATTAAAAAACATAAGTTTTTTATGTAAATTTTAGAAGAAAAAAAACTTTATCATGTTTTTGTTAATTTATGTTGCATGAAAATTGCAAAAGTTCTTTCATTATTTCTTTGAAATATATATTTTATAAAGTATGTAATCTGACTAACAACAACTTGAAAATGCTCCGTTTTCACGCTATATTAATTCCGATTATACAAATAAATTCTTGGTTAAATTAACATTTTACAATGATACTTTTTTTATCATGCGATATTGAGAAAAACCATAACTTTTGGAAGCATAAAAATGACTTGAATTAATTTTAGTACTAAAGTTATATTTTGAATAAACTTTTATGTGTCTACATCAATATTCACTTGCTAAAAGTTGACCAAAAAGAGAATAAAGTTTGACTTTTTCATTTTCCACAATGGAATTGCCCATATGTATTGTTATCAATGTTTAGTAAACTTATGCTTGTTTTATAAGTTTTTCAATATTACATTGGAATTGGTATGAATATGTTGAATCAATTTTAATAATTTCAGCTCTTCCATAAACAAGTGTTGGTTCATGGAGGAGCTGAAGTAATAGAAAAAAAAATAGAAGCTTGCTGTACAAGTATGATATTAATGGCATTAATTCTATAGGTATTAAAGTTGATTTTAAGCTAAACTTAAATTTAGTTGAGTACTTAATTATGGTTACAACCCTGTCTTAACTCTTTAACTCTGAAACAAGAACCTTGACGAACAAGGCTACTGTGCAGAGAAACAAGTTGTGCTACTTGATAGCTAAGAATTAGTTTTAAAAAATTTTTGTTTGATGATTAGCTTATTCATTTTAGTTGCCTTTTTCTTCCATTCAATATACCAACCAACTTTGTTTGGTTTGGCACATTATAAAAACATTAAATTGATTGCAATACTTAGCAATACAAGAATTATAATTTAATAAATTAAAAAAGTTCTTTGATTAGGTGAATATGTTTTGAATAAAATGTGTCATTGTCATTTTCATGTTTTCATTAATATTGTTTTAAAAACCATAATATTTTGAATTTTACTCAAGAATTTTTATATCTAGGCTACAGTGACATTAGACCGAACCTTGTGAAAAAAAATGGTTACGAACAATCACAAAAACAAGACTATTCTTTCTCTGATGAGCGTGAAATTTCACAAAAAATGGTCAATCAAAAAGAATTTTTTATGGATCGTCAAGCAGTTGATGAAGATAAAGTGAGATGTCATCCGGCAATGATGTTAACTGAGACTTTTCCTAAGCTTGTTATCAATTATGTTGAAGGATTAGGAAAGGGGGATCATCAGTTTAAAGCTGCTGCTGAAATCAATGGAAACATGTTTTATGGGGAGGTAACTTTTTTTTTTTTTTACTTCTTTGTAGTAAACATGTTTTTAAATTTCTCCAGCATAAATGATGAATTTCTGAAAATGATATTTTATATAATGAAAATAAAAATTTAAAGGGATTCTAAACTCCCAACACATGTTGTGTTTATATTAAAGATAATGTTAAAAAAAAAGGTTTGAACTAAGTTTTTTTGATTAAAAATAAATAATGAATGCATACCGAGAAAAACTAATGTTGTTTTAGCCGAAGCTAGCCTTCTCCATTTTTTTCAATAACTCAGAGTCTTTAAATTATACGTCGCAATCTACAGACTTTGGCGAATCCTTTGAAGCGCGTTTAATTCATAAAAGCTTTGCATTTGATGTCACGGTAGTTTAATAACAAAAGAAAAGTGTAATTAAACAAAGTTGCGTTTTTCTACTTTAATTCAAAAAGTACGATGTAGTAATTTTTTAACATACAGCAAAACAACTTTTACAACAAATTTTTTGTAAAAATCAAAAATAATAAAAGCTTTTTATTTCATAGGAGGAACTTTTTTTTACCGCTATCTTCCTAATATTTAGATTTATATATCTTATTTATAATTCTTTTGTTTTTAAATTGAAATAAATATTAAAGCTTTACTTACGAATCTTATGATTTTCATACCAATGTTTTATATTATATAGAACGTTATGTATACGGTTTCTCGTTTTTGTGCAAAGGAGCGCAGTATTATATATTCTGTATCTTACTTATTTTTATTTAAAGAATGGAAACTTTTTTTTAACTTCTCTGGTTGTTTTTACGCTATGATATTTTTTATTCCCGTCGAAAAGAAGTATTTATTAACAATTAATTTCATAAACTGACAGTATTAATTAGAGATATTTGATGAATTGTTAACTTTTTTTATTATAAAATTTTTTTGATTACGCTGATTTATTTTAAATTGCTAAATTTGCTGAATTGGATACGGATAAAAAGGAAATATCATTTTATTTTACATTTGATTTTTGATAATGAAACTTTTAAAATGTCTGCAACTCCATGAGCCGTCTGACATCAAACTGAGCAATATGATGACAGACTCAATAAATATATCGTCTGATCTATGCATGTATGTACTGAATATATTTACATAGATTAGCAGAATACGAAGAAATAATTTTTCAAATTAAAAAAAAAAAAAAAAAACATGTTTTAATAAAATTGTAATGGCACAAATACTAATGTACTATAAAGTTTTATAAATATATTTAAAGTTATAATATTTTAAGTTAAATTAATGCAGTATCATTATTATTGTTAATGGTGTTTTTTTTTTTAGGGACGAAGTAAGAAAATAGCAAAAATTAATTTAGCAAAATCAGTTTTTTCATGCTTATACAATATTCGTGTGTATAATGAAGAAAACTCTTTGAAACCCCCTAAAAAGGACCTCATTAAAAATGACGAAACTAATCTTGAAAAAATGTTTCCACTGGCTCAGTTAAAAAATCTTCTTGGTAAATTGTTTATTACATATTATTTTTCTATAATATAAACAAATAGTTTTAAAAATAATCAGGATTTTCATCATTTACTGTAAGATAGATTTTCATATTAAATTGTAAAATTGATTTTCATAATAGATAATTAAGATCTAGTAACCTTAAAGATATATTTTGATATAAATAGATGGTCAAGACATCCTAAAAGTATAATTATAACAAATAGTAAGTTTTATTATCTTAATACTGCAAAATATGACAAACAATATTTGACTTGTTTTAACAGTTTTTAATTTGAATAAAATTATTTAGTTTATAACTCTTTGATTGTTTTAATCAAAACCCTGTTTTTATCATTTTGAAGAGCAAAAGTTTGAGAGAGGAAAAAAGGCTCAAGAACCTAAAAAATTAAAGTTGATTTTGTTTAGTTGTAATTAAAAAATGCGATTACTTTATAAATTTTTTTATCAACAGTATATATATATTTTTAATAATTTGGTTCTGCTAATAAAGTGTTTGTCCATAAAGTAAGTACGTAAAAAAGTATGAACTCACTATCTATTCCCTGTTGTGTATTTTATGCGCCCCTGTCTTGAAAATATACGTGCTTTTTAGCTTTTGTTCCAGAAACCCCCTTTTCTGGGACAAAAGGGAGTTTAGAACAAAAGGGGTCTGGAACAAAACTCCTACTACACACTCACTTTACAAAAATGTTTTAATAATTTTTATTCCGATCTTTTGTTTAAATAGTTAAATGCATTTAAATATTTTTTTTAACAACGAAATTCTGATGCATTAAAAATATTTTTATTAGGTTATTTATAACTTTGAAAAAAATATATAAAATTTATATTAAAAATTTTTTTTATTTGAGTCTGTATTTTTATTTCTCCCCTTTTTGCATTTTTTGTTTATGTTAGTATAATTTTATGTTGAGTGTGTTTACACACGCATTTTGCAGACCTCTACTCTATTTTATCACTGCGTTCGTACTTTATGGACAATGTCCAATAAAAATTTTCTACATATGCTTATATTCTTAGTATTGTTCAGGTGGGAATTTAAAGTTTGAAATTGTTAAGCAAGAGCCACTTCCTGGAAGTAATGAACCTGTATTTCATGCCACGCTAGTTGTAGAGGGTGTTGCTTATGAAGCCATAGGAAAGTCTAAAAGTCTTGCCAAATTGCGAACAGCCAAAAAAGTTTTGGAAATCATGAAGCCTAAAAGATGTGACACATCTGGAAAGATTGATACATCAAGACATCCAAATACAGTTTGTTATATATTTGCTTATAATTTGATTAGAGTAAAACAAGTCAAAGCACTCCTGTTTACTGATTTTCAAATAAAATTGAAACAGCATAAAATTTTAAAAATTAAAGTTCTATTCAATTATATTCAAAAAAAGAAAGTTCTATTAAAGTAAGAATGTTCTATTCATAAAATTAAAAAATTAATTATAGGAATAATTAATTTATAATAATTGTTTTTGAAATGAGTAAAGTCTTTTTTTTAATTCACCCAAAAAGGTGGTAGCTTGGAAGCAAAAGTTCATAAAAATTACGATTCTCTTTGTAGTAAATTTCATTTTAATATTTTATTTGTTGCCGTAAATACAATAGTAATACAAAAAATTTTGTAAAAAAGTACAAAAATAAATAGATATATACAAAAAAAAGACTCAGTTTTTTGACTCGGTTTTACTCTAAAATTTGATAAGTTATTCTCCTAATATGCTTTTGAAAATATAAATTTATTTTTAATATGCTTTTGAAAATGTAGGTCTTTAATGAACTATATCAAGGTGTAAACTTTGTGGAAAGTGAAGCAAAAGGAGTAAATGACAATTTAGAATTTCATTATGAAACCACGATTGAGGGAAAAGTATTTAAAGAAAAAGCATCGTCAAAAAAAAAGGCTAAGCTACGACTCATATTAAAAGTATTTCAAGAATTGAATGGAATTCCACCTGTTGATTGGACATCTATAGATTCTAGCGATACAGGTCATGATAAAGAAACAGGTCTCTTACAGGCTCATCAGCCAATTGTTTTACTTACTAAGTTGAATCCCCACATAAGATTTACTATGACAGAGGATATTATTGATGGTGCCAAAAAGTATAAAGCTATTGCCTTTGTAGGTGAACAAGAGTTTGTGGGAGAGGGTGTCAGTAAAAAAGCTGCCAAAACCGCAGCAGCTCGAATAACTTTAAAGATTTTATTTGGTATTGAGCCTGAGAATTACAAAGAGCCAGGAGAATTCGCTGATGACGAACCAAAAAACGAAATTTCTGCTGAATTTAGCGACAGTATTGCTGATGCTGTCCAAAATCGGTTTGCAGCTTTGTTACAAGACGAAAACCAAAGTAAAGTTATTGCAGCCTTTGTTTTATGTATTTACGAAGGTGAAGATGTAGCACCCAAGTTAAAAGTTATTAGCATAGGCACAGGCACAAAGTGTATTAGTGGCGAACAGATAGGGCAAAAAGGTGAAACTTTGAATGATTGTCACGGAGAAATAATTGCTTGTCGTGGTTTCCGACAGTTTTTATATGATGAACTAGTTAAATCTTTGCAGAAAAAAACTGACGTTATTTTTAAAAGTAAAGGTAACGGTAAATTTGTTCTAAAACCAAATATAAAAGTATATCTTTATATTAATACTGCACCATGTGGTGACGGACGGGTGTTTTCTCTACACGTTCAACAAGGTGCTAAAAATAAAACCGCTGGTATGTTAAGAACGAAGATAGAAAACGGCCAAGGTGTGTTATCAATTATTTTATTACTAAATCTTTGTAATTAAATTTACTTATACCTTAAATTATTTGATACTTATTTTTCGTTTTTCATTTTTTATATTTAGGTACAATTCCTGTTCCTGAAAAAAGTATACAAACATCAGATGGAATCCTTGAAGGCGAACGATTGCGCACAATGTCATGTAGTGATAAGATTTTAAAATGGAACGTTTTAGGAGTTCAAGGTGCACTACTGAGTTTGTTCATTGAGCCAATTTATTTGCATGGGATTGTTGTTGGTCTTCATTATAACTACGATACTTTAAAACGTGCACTGATTAAGAGAATAGCAAAAATGGATTCTTTTTCTCAACCTTATCAATTAAACCTGCCTTCTCTTGGACATCCGAGTAAAATAGACGCAGTTCGAGATACTTCAAAGTCAACAAGTAATAGCTTCAATTGGTATTATGGCCAGAATACCGTCGAAGCTGTTAATTCGATTACAGGACAAACCGTTATTCAAACCCCTTCTCGATTGTGCAAACTGGCTTTTTTTGATAAACTACGATTGGTTATTTCCTTAAGTTCGAACCGTTTTGCGTTTCAAACATATCACGATGCAAAGATGTTAGCAAAGGAATATCAATCAACTAAAGAATATTTTTTTAAAGCGCTTAGCGAATCGTTGTGCGGTAAATGGATTGGTAAACCTTATGAACATGATATGTTTGGATACTGAAAACTGAAAAGTAAGCTAAATTTAGCTTTTTTTATTTTACCAAGGTACAAATTTGTACGAATATTATACTTTTATTCGTCTTGTTTTTAATTTGTGTAATACTAACACGGAAATTTTATGGCGAAGATAAGTTTAGTATATTGGCCGAAAATATTTCGATTAATAAAATGTCTCAATTTGTCAAAAATGTCTCAATAGAATATTTGTTAGGTCTAACTGTGTTTTTCTTTTAATTGTTAGACGTATTTGTTAACTGAAAATTATATTTGACAACATTGGATTATAAAAAAACTTTAAAATTATTATTTTTTTAGTTTTTTACAAAAAAAAATAAGTCGATGCTTGACTATTTTTTTCTTTCTTATTGTTTATTTTCTCTTAAACCTGCTATTTATTATTTATTGCTTTTTATCTAGTTGCCTTTTTAAAAATAGTTAACGAGTGTAACGGTACATCAAAGGGTATTTTAAAAATTTTATATAACCAACAAATTTTTATTAAAAGTAGTGTGTTGAAATTTTGGCCGATAAACTAAATTTCTACGATAATACTTTTAATTTTTTCTTTTTTTAATTTGCTCTTGAGATTTTCTCAAATATTTATAAATAAAACTTCAAAATGAAGTTAAAGGGCGGTATAAATGCAATACATGAATGAATCAACTAATTCTATAGCTAGTGGTTCTGGTTTGATTTATCTTTACTGTTTAACCTGATATCTTTGACAATATTCTTTTTTTTTAATCCAACAACCTCGAACACTTTATCGATACTTTGATCGTCAACTTCAATCTCTAGCAAAACTTAAAACTTGATTTTGACATAATTATGTCTAAAACAAGTTTTAAGTCTTGCCAGAGATTTAAATCGAAGCATACAAAAAATAAAGTTGTACGTGTATAGTACATTTTTTTTTTTTTTTTTTTTTTTTTTTTCTTGTTTGCATTTGACGTAATATAAATTACATATTTTTTCAAATACAAACAAGGCTTCTAAAAGAAGATCACAATGGTCTTATCGTCAGAAGCCTTTTACAAAAGAGAGTACGTAATACTTTATAAAAACGCCTTTTTACAATAAGAGTACGTCAAAAATCAAATAAAAACTATAAATCGTATTTACATAAATGATAATAAATTGTAAACAAGTATAAAACAAAACTTGAACTTACATGACAATAAAAATTATTATTTTGCTTTTTATCATAAAATAAATTAAAAATATTATAAGATATTTTCAATAGAATAAATGAGGGCTTTTAATTTATTTTTAAAAACAGGATAAGTTAGGGGTAAGTCGAGGTTTGGCAAAATAATTTTGTTCCAGAGATAAGCTGCACGATACGTGACACAAAATTTATCGAAATTTGTCCAACAGAATGGTTCACTTAAATAATTATTATTCCTCATGTTAAACTTGCTTAATGGTTTCAAAATAAAAAGATCTTTAAAAACTAAAGGAGATAAATCATGCTTCCACATATAGACAGAAGATAAATTTTTATATACGTTTACTTTATATAAATCTAGGATTTTTATTTGATTAAAAAATATTGAGGAATGTGCGAACCGATCCGCAGAATTAATTAAACGAATCGCATGTTTCTGACGGCGATAGAGACAGTAACTTGCTTTGATCAGTGCCCAGGCAATAACTCCATAACTTATATAACTGTGGATAAAAGAGTTTTAAAGTTAAGTTGAAGTGTTTTTATTTAAATGAGTACGCGTCTTATATAAAATTCCGATACTTTTTGAAACTTTCGAGCAAATGATGTTTCCATGTGATGTTCTCGTCAATGAAAACCCCCAGGTATTTAGTTACAGAATCTCTTTTAATTTCAATATGCTCAATACGAATTTTAGAGGTAGAAAAGGTTTTTTAGAGAGCGGGTGGAAAAAAATCCATTTTGTTTTGGTTATATTTAGTGTTAATTTGTTACTTTAAAACCATATAGATATGTTTTGAAGTTCTTTGTTCATCATGCAGAAAAGTAGATAAATGTCACTGTTAGAGATAAATAAGTTTGTGTCATCAGCAAACATAACACTTAGAAGATTTGATGCTTTATGCAAGTCGTTGATATATATTAGAAACAAAAGAGGGCCTAAGATGGACTACCACAGGAAACATTTAAAAACTGTTTATGATTAAGTTCATTACAAGAACCAAATTGTTTTCTGTTCGATAAATAAATTTGAAACCATTTAATTACTCTTTCATTTATTCCGTAATAACTAAGTTTATAAAGCAAAATATCATGATCGACAGTATCAAATGCTGTTGAAAGATCGATAAAAATTCCTAATGTGAATTGAGATTTTTCAAAAGAATTGGAGATTTCACGTACCAACTGAATAATTGTATGCTCAGTTAAGATGTTCTTTTTAAAGCCAAACTGATTTTTGTATAATGAATTATTTAAACTAAAATAATTAAATACTCTATTGAACATGATCCTTTCTAGTATTTTTGAAAATATTGATAAGATAGAAATAGGCCGGTAATTACTTATATCAGATTTGTCACCACCTTTGAAAAGTGGAATGACTTAAGCAATTTTCAATTGATCTGGAAAGACTCCTTGTTCTATTGACGATATAAAGACTTTAAAAATAATATATTTTATTTGTTCAAAGCAATCTAAAATTATGTTACCATTGATTTCATCCGGTCCAGCTGCTTTATTATTTTTTTTTTAGTGTTTTGAAGGCTTTTTTGAATTCATCAATTAATAACTCTTTAGATAACTCATCCGAGTGAATGCAATTATCCATCGATACTAAGAAATCTTTAAATGAGGCTTCTGTATTAGGAATTAATTTAGATGGTTTAGGGCCAATTTCAACAAAAAATTTATTGAATTCATGAGCTATTGTTTCAGAATTATTTATATTGTTATTATCAACTTTGATCATGTGTGGCAGGGAACCTGATTTTTTTCTTTATTGAGAATTTTAGAATAGTAATGTTTTTTTAAGTTTTTTCGAACTTTTTTAAAAAGATTTTTGAAATTTTTGTATATTTTCTCATTGGCGAATGATTTGTTTTTTAGATATTTTATGTATAATTTTTGCTTAACTTTTGATGATTTTTTTAAACCTTTGGTAATCCAGGAAGAATTAATGTTTTTTAGATATACTGTTTTTTTATATAAAAGCAGGGACTACTAAAATACCGGGACGCGCAACTTCGATTTCATGCGATTTTGACGAGAGGGCTGAAAGTTGAATATGTTCGAAAAATTTTTGAAGTTTAACACTTAAATGATTTTGATACTAATATTAACAGTTATTCAGAGTTATTTTTTGTTTCTCATTAAATAACATCTTAATCTCATAACTCATTAAATTTATGACAATTTATAGTAAAAAAGGAATCTTATTTTTATAAGGCCTGGATTAGTAACTTTAATCTTTAATTAGTAAATAAATTGATCTTATGTAGTTAATCAAAGGATCTTATGCAGTAAATAAAGGGATCTTATAAAATACTTAAATTAGCAACTTTAAACTTTAATTACTTGAAACCATTTAAATCATTTCATTAAAAATTAAAATTAATTCATAATTTATTAATCTTCAAACATTAATAAATATAAGAATTTTAAATAATAAATATAATTATAAATATAAGAATTTTCAAAATTCAACAACAAAAAAAGTAGATTATCTAAAATGATCTAACTTCTGTGTTAAAACAATGTTAACCATTTTTAAAAATAACCATTTTAACCACATATTGCGTGTTTTTTGATTTATTTGCAAAACTTTTTAACTTTGCGGTCTTTAATATTTAAAGAAACTTTGTCTGACGATTCATTCAATTCCGTTAGACCCTTGAAAAAACAATTCAAAATGGTGGAAACAACTGTGTTGATTGGTAATGCTTGTAAATCGAAAGGTAAAGCTGTATAGAAATATATAAAAAGTTTAGAAATGTATCTAACGCACTGGAACCGCATCTCTGCATTAGGTAATAAAATAAAAAGAGAATATGCATATCTGACATATTGAAATAGATCCTCAGTAGGGTGACATAGTCGACCACGAGATACTAACTCAGTAAACTCAGATGCATTGGTAACAAAGGTACCAGATACGGATATACTTGGTAAAAATTTATGCTGGACATAACCCGAAATGTAATATAGGGCAGCATTTTCTTCTTCGGAAATTGCATCAATTGAAGAGACAGATGTATCAAGATAACTAATGTCATCCTCATTCAGATCTAATTGACAACACTCTGATTGAATAATTGAGCATTGAGAAATAGGTACACCCATAGCATCCAATTTACTAAACAACTTCAGGCGTTGTAAACGAAGACTATTTTCACATACATTTCATCAAATAGCAGGCAGCAACGTTTTTCCGAAATAGTTAATGTTTCAAACACGGTTTTAATACATTCTTCACATTCCTTTTGTGTTCCTACTTCACCGATTCTGCCTAATTTTAGTTTAAGAGTTCTTGGATGTGGGAGTGAAAGTGTATCACAAAGAATTCGATAACAGCATCTTAAAGAAAGGTATAGTTCTAAAGCTCGTCGTACAACTAGCGTAGAGTAACGCTTGCCTCTCACAGGCATCATCTGCAGTTGTAGTTGTTCAATCAAAAAATTTATTTCATCAGATTTTTCTCCATATGTACATTCAATCTCTTGCAATAAATGTTTTAGTTCCTCGCTTAATTCAGGTTTAGATGACTTCATTCTTGAAATAATTGCTTCTAACTGCGACCACCAAGTGAGTTTGTGAGAAAACCCCAAAATATCATTGCAATGAATTTGTGTGTGTTTGATATAAGCATGTAACTGTTGAGTGTGAGTATTGATTGTAACAGAAATATTAGTTTCTGGTGGACGCAAAAATGTCATATTAAAAACAGTCAGATCCAATGCATTTGTAACAACAAAATAATCAGGAAACCTTGAAATATTTAAAAGAATTATTTATTAGTAATACTAACACAAAAAAATCCTACAAAAATTATATTTAATTAGAACTTTTCTTACCGCTGCTTTACATCTGTAAGAAACTGTTTGACTTCAAAATTTTTTATTTTATTAATCTTGTTGAAAGAATCGAGTTCATCACAGAATGAGTTTCTTGATTCAATTGAAATTTTTTCAAAATTTGTTTGACAGAATGTTTTGCCTGTTTGTCGTAACATTGAAGGAAAACACCCAGGAAATAGTGAAGGAGGATCTGATGGAATCTAAAAAGTTTCCATTGATTTTAGATTATCTATTTAATTTGAACTAAATAAAGCTTACAAGTATAACTACAACATTGATTTGAAATTTTTGTTTATATATATGAATTCGACTCACCTGATATTTAGATCTTTTTGGATAGTGCATACTACACCCCAAAGGCCAGTGCTTTTCACAAACACCCATATTGTCTGTTGGTGATTGAATTTTATTTGGTAAAGCTGCTAACCATCTTTCACATAATTCTTTGTCACTTGGAAATTTGTAAACTTTAACATGCTCATTTGCACTGTCATAATTTCCACGACAATTACCTACTGAGCATTTTCTAGGCATGTCTGTAATGGTTTTATAAATTTATTTTTAAATAGAGAATGAAATTAATATTTTTTAAATATTATAACCTTAAAAATAGGTTTAGTTTAGTACAACAATAACTTAATATCTTATGTTTTTTTGTACTCAACTTTATTTAGTACTAAAAAAGTTACTTTAGTCTAAAGTAACTCAAGTTACTTTAGTGTAAAGTAACTCAAGTACCTCTAAAACTGTTAGTAACAGTTTGAAGACTTGATTTGCATCAAAACGTAATTATACTCAAAATCAAATAAAATCTTCGTACTGTAATAGTATGTTACTGTTTTTCATTTTTTATCATAAAATATTTAAGTAGTCATAAATAATTAAGCAAGTAATACTCATAAATATAATAATTAAGTAATTAAGTAAGTAATATTCATAATATAATAAGTAAGTAATAGTCATAAATATTTAAGTAGTCGTAAAATATTTAAGTAGTATTTATTATTGCAATACAATCATCATATAAACATCTTAATAAAAATACTTTTACTACTTTAAAAGTACTATAAAAAAGCTTAAAAAAATAAATTAATTAAAGTTAATACATTATATAATCTATATGAATCAACATTTGTTGCAGCTTATCAATAATCTTTAAATACCACTCTTTTATTTAAGCTATTAACATTACATGTTGGTATATTGAAGGCGCTAAAGTCAGCCCTCTCGTCGATTTCACATCGATTCAATGCCGTGCGTCCCGGACTTTAAGTAGTCCCTGTATAAAAGTAAATTAGCATCATAAACAGAGTAAAATTTATTAAAGAAATTATCGTAAATATTGTTTGCATTATCACTAAAGTCGATGTTCTTCCAATGGAGCAATAATAATTGTGTTTTAAATTGCTCAACGTATTTTTGAATATAGTTACGTAATTTAACTTTTATGTGTGTTGTAGTTATTATTTTAGAGTTAAAGTTAATGATAAAAAAGGTAGAAAAATTATCAGATGTCTGTTTTTAAGATACCTTTATTTAAGTCACTGCTAAAAATATCAGTTGTTAGAATGTTATTAATTAGAGTAACTGATTTAGGAGTTACTCTGGTCGGGCGATTTATCAAAGGAATGGCTTTCATTTTAAAAATAGAATCATAAAAATTTTTAGTTTTAATGTCCGTAGAGTAGTGAAAGCAATTCATATCAAAATCCCCTACAATAAAGACAATTCATATCAAAATCCCCTACAATAAAGACAATTCATATCAAAATCCCCTACAATAAAATCCCCTACAATAAGAGGCTTTTTGACCTCGATGAAAAGCAAAGAAAAGCAGATGTCGAAAATGCTGATTTTTTCCTGGGTATTCCATTTCTGAGCCAGAAAAGAGACGAACAATTAAATTATCAAAAAAAACAAATAAAACCGTTTTGTAGACAAGAAAGAGCTCTTTTGAATGAATGTATACACTTTGCTAAAAAACAAAACAAATCGTTGTAAAATACCTCTAACGCAAAACTCTTAGAACTTATGTTACAACCCAATACATGTTGATTAAAAAATCAACTACGCCTAAATCTTACTTAGTTGATGTGTACACTCCGTTAACGGAGTAGTTACAGCCTGTTACGGCTGGAACAGTCTATGTGCAGTGTACGTTCTGCGCTTTTACTTTATTTGGTCCAAATGCAGAACTTTAATTAGTTGGTGCACAAAAAACAATCATTGTGCACTAACTAAAAAACAAAATAATTTCAATACCAATAGGCAAACCAGGAACCCTTGGTTCACTTGCCGAAAGCGTAATCCGCTACGCTGGCGTTGTACAATGAAAGAAGATTTATAAAATAATATTTTTGCATGTATAGTATATTATTATGTGTTACAAACTATATATATAATATTTTGCATGTATTATATATCGGAAAGATAGGTTTTCAAAATTGGTATCATGTTTAGGATAGCAATGTTAGTTTATACAATTTTACGCGGAACTATTGGTGTAAAAAAAAGAGACTGAAAAGTACTAATTAATTAACTTAGAGAATAATAGAAATTATTATATTTAAAATCGTTTTGTATTTTTTAAAGTTCTGAACCCCCTCCCTAAAAAATTTCTGTACTCTCTTTTTTAGGGAGTACAGAATTCAGATCTAACGTTTAGACAACGTTAAACGTTAAAAACGTTAAAAACGTTAGCGTTATCTTAACGTTTAGAGCCTGTCTTAAATTGCTAATTGGTGAATGAAATAAATTAAAAGAAAATAAAAGTTCGACATTTCGATTCGTTATTAGAAACGATATGTTGCAAAAAACTGAAATAAAAAAAATACTAAAGAAACTAATGCGCCTTCAAGTTTGTCTAAAGTCAGCAAAATAACGTGTTTTTCATGATGATACAAATGTGCTGGGTTATACAAGATGATACGAATGTGCTAGATTTGGTTATGACTGAGAATAAAAATTGAGTTTATATATTGGTAATCCCTCAACCATTGGGATATATTAATCATGGCTATCACGTTTAATTTAATTACAGTCATGAAGAGTGTATTGACAATATTGTTTTTAAAAAAGATAAATTTAATTACAATTGCGAGAAATTTGATGAATTGAACAATTATTTTAAACTTCTTAAACTGATACGATCAAAGGTACTTTAACATCAGTAGTTAGTAAAGTCATGGATAAGATAACTAAAGGCCAAATGATGAAATATTTAGTAGAAATAAATGAATGTTACGAAAAATGGCTCAGCCGTTATGAAGAACAGCCCCGTCTTTGCCCATGTCCAGCTTTTTTTTAATTAACTAAAAAAAACCTTTTTCAAAAAAGATTTTTAAAAATGTAATTTTACACTTTATATTCTATTTTTAAATCTCGTATCTATTTTAAAAAAGGCAATTTTCTTGTATAGGATATTGGAGACAAAAAATTCTTTTTTTAAAGGTAAAGTTATTTAAATAATTTTTATCAGTGAAAATAATAGTGAAAAATCATTAAAACTTTCAGATTAGAAAAATAAGTGATCAAGTAAAAATCTAAAGTGATCAGTGAATAACATTAACATAGATGAGCTTATCAAAAGAATATCCTGAGGAAAAAGAATCAAAGAAACAAATTTAAAACGAATTGCAAACCTAAATGTTATCGCGTCCTTGCCAAAGTTGCCATTATTTTTCGCAAAAAAACAATCTAATACATTATTAAAAAGGTGGTAGATGCAACCATTAGACTCCATTAGTGTACGTAGCGAAAAATTAGCTCAGAATGTCGAAGCTTTTTCTACCAACCCTGTCGACTACATACGTCAAAATATTATTCTTATTAAGTTTAACGCAACAAATCACCAAAAAGAGAGGTCAACGCCACTGATTTTTCAAGGTCTAAAACCCATGACAAAGGTGGAACTTTTCGACGCGCCTCAAAGGAGTTATTTTTATTAGTTAGTTATGAGAAGTCATGAATTAGTTGATATGCTTAATATTGTTAAAAAGACATTAGAAATGCACTGCATCAACATTAGTGATTGCCGTTGGCAGTTCTATGATAATGTCTTTAATATGTGTGGGGTCTTCACTGAGTAGCAAGCTCATATTAAGCTTCATTCTTTGAATCTAGTTAGTGTTGCAACAGTTGAGTTTTGTGTGACAACTGCTTCATTCTTTGGGTATCTTCAACAGCTAGATAATTTTTTTACTCTTTCAATGCATCGCTCGGTGGTCTTGATATCAAAACTGGAATATGTTTAAAGATTCCAAAAAGTCAGAATATATGGTCTGCATGTGCAGATGCGTGTTCTGTTCTTAAAATGATTTTTACTAATATACAAGGTATAATTATCAGAATCAGTTTTTTTTTATGTACTTAGTTGTCAATAGTAGTTATATATTTGTCTACTTAAAACATGCGTTTAAACTTCAGAGTAGTCTTAAAAGAACCGAAAAATGAAAAAAGTCAACAACTAAACATGGTTGTAGAAGCTTCTTCTCAGGATCAGCTGAAGACAACCGTCATGAAAGTCCTTTGGAGCACAATTATGGAAAAGGGCAATAAATTGTTCAAAATGCTTCCAAACGCCGAAATTGTCTTAAGAGTGGTGAATGAACTGTAATTAATAATTCTCTGTCTATTTTGTTTAAGAGGTCAGATCAAATTTTGACAAATTTGAAAAAGAAGCTATGACATCGGTGGGCACCAACAAGTATTCTCATAACCAGAAACAATAATGAGTGCTCAAATATCAACATGACGGATTGACTTTTATTGAGGCATAAGGCTTTACTAAAAGAGAAAAAAATGATTGCTGAGGTTAATATCACCTCAAATTGACTTTTTGTTGTTATTAAAAGATAAAAGAAAAGTTGATATTGAAAGACAAGTTCTATTTTTCTCTTGTCCATCTTCGGGTTATGCATTCTGTTGCAATTGCATCGCACACCCTAGAAATTTTAAAAATCTACACAAACGATGCAAAATTTATTTTCTTAATGAAAGTCTGCATCTAAAAGCTTCATTTCTACTTCAATTGATATTGGTAAAGAAATACCGGTAATCTATGAAGCTTGTATCTAAATTTCCTAATGTCGATGTTGTTCTAAGTATATTTTTTTCTGCTGCTGTATAAATTGTAAAAATAGGAAACAAAGGTCTGATTTTCCAATGCGTATTTTTTGGATTACCTTGTTATGGTTAACACATTTACTTGTTGGTTTTTGGTCTTATGAAGTAATTTATTATAAAAATTATATAAGCAAATCGTGTTTACGTACAGATTTAGGAGTGTGAGTTTAGGGGAAAGGGGAGGTTATAGAGGCCACATCCGTTGTTTCGCTGGGGGGCCAGGAAGACCAAAAGACGGGCCTGATGAAAAAAGAAGTAAACTTTTTATTTCAATCATTTAACAGAAAAGTATTTGAACCAACACAAGACCTCTTTAACTAAATGAAGAATTAAAAGCGTTTTCGAAAGAAAAAAGAAACGTTTGATTAAAATGTAGACTGAGGAAATTCAGGGATACTCTTTTACTTGCAAAATATAAAGAATTGAACAAGATTAAAAAGGAGAATCATAGAATTAAAGATTTTGAATATGGTCTTGCAAAAATTTTAAAGTTTAGCTCCAAGAAAATTTTTGCATATATTATTTAAAAAAAAAGTCAAAAAAAATATACAAACAATCCAACAAAAAATGATAGCATCAGAACTGATTTAAAATTATTACGAATGCGTTTAATTTAGCATCGGAATTCAATAAACTACATACCTCGTCTGTTCCAACCATAAATATAGAAACATAAATTGTCTGTTTATGTTTCTATATT